AATAGTAAGAGCTGGAGGGGACGGGAACTCCACAAGGAGAGCAACAGAACAAGATAATTTGAACACAGGGAACTTCCCAGAGACTCATACTCCAACCAAGGACTATTTGTGGAGATGACCTGGAACCCCTGCACAGGTGTAGCCCATGGCATTTCAGTGTCCAAGTGGGTTACATAGTAATGGGAAGAGGGACTGCCTCTGACATAATCTAATTGGCCTGCTTGTTGATCACTGCCCCCTGAGGGGGGAGCAGCCTTACCAGGCCACAGTAGAGGACAATGCAGCCACTTTTGATGAGAACTGATAGACTAAGATCAGAAAGAAGAGGAGAACCTCCCCTATCAGTGGACTTGGGGAGTGGCATGCATGCAGAAAGGGGAGGGAGGGTGGGATCGGGAGGAGAGGAGGGAGGGGCTTATGAGGGGATACAAAATGAATAAAGTGTAATTAATAAAAAATTTAAAAAAAATTAAAAAAAAAGAAAAGAAACACACATCCCTGTCTCTTAATATACAACAGCCCAAATATACAGGTGTTCCACAGTACTAGAAGAGATTCTAGAATCTAGAAGAGATTTTTCCTACACAGGCTAGAAGAGAGTCAACCTCATGAGGGTCCTAGCAAACCGCATAAGTAGCAGCTTCCGCTTATGGAGAAGACATTCCTGACATTGTTTTAGTAAAGGTTGGCACTTAAAGTAATGTTACAATAATTACTTAAGAACCATTAAATATAAAATCTACTTTAACAAAAGTTTTCATTGTTAATGGATCTATCCTCAATAGTACCTGCATACAATGAACAACATTCCTACCTAAAAGAAGGAGACACTAACCAAAATATGTATTTGTGTACATACTTAAATATATCAACATTGAGTTAGAAAAGCAAGGAATGTTACAAAACTCCAAATGTAGCAAACAAATGAAAACATACATGCAACCGGAATTTTGAGAGGTAACACTAAAATCTGCATTATTGGTTTGGATAGGGAATATTCCTCAGTGCCCATGTGTTAAAAGATTGTTTGTATCAAGGCAGCACAACCAGGAAGAATTGTAAACTCTGTAAAATAGGGCCTTATAGGTGATCCTTCAGTTGAAGGTATGGCCTTAAAGGACTGTAGTTCCCAGCATCTTCCTCATTTTATTTCTTTCTTCTTGTGACATCAGCAGTTTGTACTAACATTCCCTTCACTATTATGCACTACCCCTTGAGAGGTCCAAAACAATGGAAATCTTTGTTTATGGACTGAGACCACCAAAATCTTTAGCTAAAATAAACTTCCCCAAGTTAATTAACGTGAGTAATGAAAGCTTACTTGAATATAAGAGTCCATTTTTTTTTCTCAGTTGGACCTATCAAAGTGTAAGGGCCCATAAAAAAAAAAAAGACATTAGTATAGTCTGACCACACTTTAGGAAGAGGAGTCTTGCAGGAGAGTCCTGCGTAATGCTGATCTCCAAAGAACAATGTTCTTTAGGGTTAAGAATAAATTAGATAGATATAAACTGATTCCAGAGAAAGTGATGATTCAAGGTGAGGCCTCAAAGAATCTACAATATCTTTCTATTCACCACCTAGATGATATACAATGCCTCTTGGTGGGGAATTTATCTCAGAGTAGGATCCAGTTGCAATGCTGCTTGAGGCCCACAGAAATTATCATGATGCATTATTCTTTAACTTGAACCTTTAAAAGTCCTACATAGTAGTAAGAAAGAATCCAGAACACAATAAAAAAAGTCACCACACATTGACAAAGTCCTTCGGAAAGGTGCAGACTGAAAATAAATGCCTCCATACAAAGACTATATTTCTAGTACTTATCATACAGATGACATTGGATCTAAATTTCAATAAGCGTAGGGAAGAAATAACAGGCAAAGTATACACATTTAGAAGTACAGACCGGAAATCAGTGTGAGGGTACTCAGGCCAGCAAATTGAGAATTCAAGGCTAACCTGGGCTACATAGCCAGAAATTATATAAAACAAAACAAAACAACAACAAAAAAGACAAAATTTAAAAGATGCAAAGCTATCTATAGAAATTAAACAATTCCAGGACAGACCTACAAGAATAATTTGGCTCAGTGAAGAAATAAAAAATATAAACGAAATATTTAAAAATTGGAAGAATAAAATATGGAGTTTCAGGGCACCCATATAGTTCTTAAAGAGGGATGATAGAAATGCTGCAAAAAGGTTAAATATAAAATATGATACACTATCCTAAAACTGACAAGGTATTTTCCTAAGATTTGTAAAATTTGCAATGTTAAGCCTCACTTTAGACCTACAGGCAACATTTTTATAGCTTCTTATTCTAAAATAATTCTGTATGCAATTTAATATCAAAGTATCATTTGGAAAAGAATGTGCTTTCACATGTCAAATATTATTACTACTACGTGAGATAGGCTTTTATTACTCATAGACACATAGTTTTACTGCATGTATCTACAGAAATATTGTCCTTGGTTTAAATGATTCTATCATTTTGTAAAAAAAAAAAAAAAAAAAAAAAAAAGAAAAAAAAAAAAAGATGTCCAAAATGTCAGAAGTTCTGTCTGACATAAAATAGTGTAAAATAAAATAAAAGCCTGCCTATCATAGTATAACTTCAATGCTCAGTATAGTGCGTAATTTTCATATTACTCATCATGTGATAAATAAAAACAGAGGAAGTAGCATTAAAGAGATTTCGGTCAAATAATGATGAAAAGTAAACCACTGAACTAAAGATGAAGTCTCCAAACTACATGTTTGTACTCTTCCCAAAGAAACTAAACATTTATCCAAATCGGCAACATACTAGGTTCTAATAGAAATCTCAGTGGTTGTGAAAGTTTCTTGTTTTAGTCCAGTTTCTATTGCTGTGATAAAACACCATGGCCAAAAGCAACTTGAGGAGCAAATGTTTATTTCAGTTTACAGCTTACAGTCCATCACTGAAGTCAGAGCAGGAACCCGGAAGAAGGTGCTGAGGCAGAATCTCTGGAAGAATGCTACTTAATGGCTTATTCCTCTTTGCTTGCCAACATTGTCTGTTGGCATTGTGCTCACTCAGGTCCACTTTTATTACTCTAGCCTAACGCCAATGTTTGTGTACTACCACACATTTCTTGTAATTTAAAGCATTATTTTCTGTAAAACTTTATGTTCAAAAATGATATTCTTTAATAACTCAAACTTTAAGAAAACCAGCTGATCTTGGCACACTTATTTCGTGGAAAAACTAAAATGGCTAGTATAATTTTAATTGCCATATACTGCTATGTGTTTTTAAATATGTGTTCTTTGTATCAGTTTCACTTTTTAAAATCACAGTTTTATTCAGCTGTGATAATATCTAACTCTCATCCCAGTATTCAGGAACCTGTGTAAAGATGATAAGCATGTGATTCCAGGTCAGTATGTACTAACTCATGAATTCTAGGCCAACTTGGATACATACTTAAATTCTTTGTCTCAAAAAATTAATACTGCAACAGTGGTGTTTGCGTAAGGAGAAGTTGCACTTTGCTGTTGATAATATCTAGGGGCTGGTACACAGATGCTTTGTTAATGCAGCACCTCAGTGACATACAGAAACACAAACTTAAATTTTAAAAAGAACAAAATAAAAGTAAGACGCGTTCTTCTACGTCACCTAAATTTTCTAGCTTTTAGCCATCATTATTCTTAGCATAGTTTCACATTTTAAAATCTGTGTAACAACTGAAGATATATCTAAGATTGATTTTGTTATTTTTGTACTTCTCGTTTCAGTCACAAAAATGTTGTTTTACTAATATTTTCAAATACCAAACTTAGTCTTTAGCAATTTCTGTCTTGACTTAATGTTTTATTAATTATGTCTTTGCTTTAGATATCCTTTATTACCATCTTTGTGTTGACTTCGCTTGTCCTGGTAGCATCTTCTGAAGAATGCTCAGCTTACTGATAACCAGTCTTTAATAAAAATGTAAGGTTTAAGTTCCCTAATAACTGCTTCAACTATCACAAGTTTGCATAAAAGGTATTTCAGTAATCATTCATCTGTAGTTGTTTTTTTAATTTACACTTTCTTCTTCTTAAATTATTTTCTTATTCATTTATTCATTAAGACAACATCTTGCTATCCCAGCCTGGCCTAGAATTAAAATCTTCTTGCTTCACTCTTTACACCTCTGGGATTACAGGCATGCATAACCATATTTGGCTTAGAATTTTTTAATGTTTGTTTTCATCGTCAGGATTAACATGATTTTAAAAATGCATACGTTATGATTAAGTAATACGGTTTATCGGTAAAGAGTTTTGGTGGCTTGTTTTTTTGTCAACTTGACAGAAATATAGAGAAATCTAGAAGAGGGAATGTTAACTGAGAAAATGCTTCCATAGGCTTGACCCGCAGAGAAGTCTCGGAGGTATTGATTGATGTGACGGGACCCGAACCACTGTGGGTGTGTCGCCCCCGGCCTGAAGATACACTATGCCTTCAAACTGAATTTCCTTCCAAAGACCTAAGACAATTTCTTAGTAAAAGCCCATGCACAGGGTCATCTGAGAAATTATCATTCTCTGTGTCTAGGTGTTTTGGCTAAAACCAGGTTAGAAAATATAAGTTTTAAACTAATAAATCCTTGCTAGCTCAAACTCCACACTGTGTCTCTATATATCCAGGCTAACCCTAAATCTGTATAATGTCTTTATGGTTTAAACCTGTGAAGAATATCTTTTTAATCACTCAGAATCTTAACTATATATTACATTTGAAATTGTATGTAATACTAAAAAGCAGAAAGTCACTATAATGAAGCATGCATTTAAAAAAAAATTCCTAAAACACACTAAATTCAAAAACTCTAAGAAACAAACATATTGATGAAGAAATTTTTATAGGAAAATCACAAATATAAATATACTAAATTCAATAAATATTTGGAAATGATACAATTGGAGTGGAGTGTTTCTTACAGTCTTTGTTTTATGTTTTGTTTTGTTTTACTTACCTCATTTCCATCTTCATCAATTATTGAGATATAGTTGGAAAGCGTCTTGTTTGGGTAGGACAACAGGACATCATAATGGCTTAACTCAACCGAATCCAAGCCAAATTCTTTCCACTGGGCCTGAATTTGCTTTGCAAGCTCAAAATTTTGTTCTGTTCCTGCCAAGTGTGGTGTCCGTGTAAAATTACTGTGAAAGAAAATTGAAAATGTTTAAACATTAATGTTAGTCTGTCTTTAAGCACCAAGACATACTTACTTTTGCTATGCCTATAATACACAATATATTGAGGTAAATGCAAGATTTTCCATGAAGAAGTTTAAGTCCAATGCCTCTCATTCTATGGGGCCCCTTTGAAAGCAATAGTTTATTATTAATAATTATTAATTACAAATAGTAACTCTATTGTAATTGATGTAGGTACATACGTGTATTCCTACAGATATGCAACTCTATTCATTTGTAAATATTTAATGGTCCTTTATATCAATTCACTTTGTGTTCACTAGGAAATCCTTTGATTATTAGAGAGATTCCAAATCTTTTCAACACATATACTATTCTGATTTGTTGAAAAACTATAAAATATTCTAGTTGATTAGAGATACTACTCTACCAACATCCACATCTTACTTTTAAATAAACATAAATTTAGCTTTTTGATTACTTTTAACTTTTAGTTTCTTGCATTATTGAGGATAATACCCAGGGCCTTGCACATGTTCAGTAGCAGAGCTCAGGCCTAGGATGTGCAAGGCCCAAAACTTTTAAATTGTATTTTTTTTATCTCTTTTGCTTTATACTATTTTAATAAGAATAGAATTACTTTTTATTTTTTTCAAAACATGTTTTCCAGTTTCATCCTTATCACAGCAGTGTCTTTATCCTCATCTCAAAGATATGAGAATAAAAGTTTGGGAAGATTCCTTAGTCACTCAAAGTTATTTCCCTATTAATGAGCCAAAATGGAGCTCAAGCTAACTTCTGTGTATCAGCTTTTTCTTGACTAAAACCTACTATCTATTTTTAAAGGATGATTATTAAAGGATGAGTCAGCAAAGAAATATCCTCCATCCAAATCTGTCCACAATCTGTTTTTGTACAGTTCATAGGCAAAGAACAGCTTTATATTTGAAGTATGTGAGCAAATACAAATTAAGTTTTATAATGCATCAACAAATAAAAATCAAATTTCAGTGATCATGAGCACAATTTTTCAGAACCAGAAGTATTTGCCTCATACTTCCTTATGGTTTATTTTGTGCTGCAGAAGCAAAGTTAAGTAGTTGTGATATGTATTTGCTGGCTTACAACAGCTGGTCCTTTTACATGAAATGTTTACTCAGTTCCACTCTGATATGAAGTTAAAGCTGAAGGTGTAATCCTCCCTGTACAGCATGTAATACAAGTATAGTCTTACTATAAAAATGTCTTGATGTTCTCAGCCTTCAATTCATGCAAAAATGCCTTCTTCATGCCAGGATAGGGAACATTATTAGTAGTTTCACTGGAGGATTTTATGAACCACCCTGAAAAAACAAAACAAAACAAAACAAAACAAAACAAAAAAAAAACAAGCAAATGTATGAATTAGATATGAGCTCATGGCAGGGTCTTATTTTTCATGTAAGACACAGTTAATTATCCCGCTTATTAGCTGAAATTTTTATATTTTCTTTTCCTTGCTATCTTCACTAAAGGAAAAAAACATATATATCCTTTTTTATTGCAAAGCAAGTACAACGTTATTTTAACCCAATTTCAATTATCTGTGTTGCTGTTACTTCTAACAAAAATTCAGTGAGAAAATTTAACGTTATATTATTGTTTCAACTATCCGAGATAAAATGTTTTGAAAATGTACTTTTTCTACATTATCTTCCCTTGCCAATAATTGCCTGTGACTCTGTACAGCTAGAATAAGCATTTAACAAATGATTATAATGAATTATTTATGAGTACAGTGACTAAAGAGATTGTTCATCAGTTAAGAGCATGTACTGTTCTTGCAAAGGTCCTGAGTTTGATTCCCACCACTCTGGCAGTTTACAACTGAACTCTATGGGCACCTGCTTTCAAATGTACATTTGCACGTTTCCACAAATACAAGCATATGCAGATAATCAAAAATAAGGAGACTCATAATTATGAATATATTTCAAATATGTATATTATCTCAAAGCTTTAAAAAAAAAAGCCTCAGATTTTTAGCTTGCTTTGAATCTGAAACTAAAACAAAATATGTTGATATTTTGTTTCCACTTGAAATATGCTTGAGAAATTGAAGTTTGGAAAGCTGCGGAAAACTACAATGTACTGGAGATCCCGGTAAGAAATCCAATGCACAGAAAGCCATAGACAGTTTATAACGAGCACCTTTGCCCCTGGCCTCATAAAATGATTTAAATCTGAGAGGGACAGAGCATCATCATATATATCTGTAAACCCTTGCAGAGTACCTGACCTGGGAATAAAGAAGGTTACCCTGGCAACCTTGATGGAGCTTTCCCAGTATTAACAACACATGCACAAACACACAGGTGCATAAACATGCACATTGAAACAGGTGGTTAGGCAAAAATAAAATAAAAATAAAAAAGAATTTTAATATTCCTTCTGCGTACAAAACTAAAGTAACTGGAGTTGGCTGTGAGATTAGGGAAGAACACAGTGAGAATGATAGATTAAAGCCAAGGTCTGAAAAACAAATCACAAATGAAAAAGATAGAGGCCTGTGGGGGAGGGAGAACACTACGAAATTAACAGTCTTTGCTCTGAACAAGATCTTTGTGAACAAGGATCACAGTGGAGGTAACAAAGTAGAAACATGTAGCCTTTGAATCCAGCGCGAGCCTTCCCAACCCTTGTTTCTTGCTTTTAAACTAAAATTAGAGAAATTCCATTCAATTCCTCTTTCTGAGCACATATCTCATTGGAGCCCCACAACAACCATAGGTAGCTACTGATATCTTTCTGATAGCTAAGATTCAAGTCTGGCCCGGGGCTTCACTATTGGTCCATAGACTGTTTTTATAAATCCCAGAGCAGTGATTCATAATTTAAAGCAAAGATGAATGACTTGACAACGCTTTAGACTGTCCTGTCTGCTAAAGCCCAGTTAGAATCATGTCCGATGTCCTTAAGACCCAAACAGTGTTCTAACAGAGCTTTGAACGCTGTTTCAGGTTCTATTCTCTGTTAGGTGCTCATATTAGCTTCATTATAAAGACGGGGAAGCTAAGATTGAAAAAAGACATAGTAACTTTTTCACAGTAAATGAGTGTTAGTGATACAAACTCTGAATTCATAAGTCAGCAAGCCTGTGCGGCTCAAGGTTTCTTACAGAGTTGGGCTAAATCTGAACTAAGCTCAAAGACCTCCCTGCTAAGGCTGTTTTCAGGGGGTGCTGACATTAGTCCACGTTTCCCAGAACGAGTCTCTGTTATGCCCAAGGAAGAATGTGACCAGAAAGAGATTCCTTGCACATTGATCCCCTGAAATGCCCAGGGATGGGCTTCACTAAACCCCCAAGCAGGCAAGTCACTCAGTGCCGAGCTCTCCGAAAGATCAGAAGCCCCTAGGGATCTGTCGGGAGAAGTGTGGCAGGGTTCCAGTGGGTCAAAACTCTCCTCTCTGGGGGCTTTGGGGGTTTCGTTTTTTAGATCTGACTTTAATCTGGGCAAATCAATCCCACAAGCAGCTTTTTCCAAACTCGATCCTACACAGACACCGGCAAACCTGTGCTTAACTCTCGAGAACTACTTCCGTCTTGCCCCACGCGGATCAAGGCATCCAGGGAGAGCCACCACCCGGGTCGCCTCGGGAGCAGACCCAGCTTTGCCCCGCAAAGGCGCCCTACCGAAGACGAAGCCGATGATGAAGGTTCCGGAGAAAGCCAGCACCAGAGCCCCCGCGCAGATCCAGCGCTGGCGGCTCCCGGCGGCCACCGAGGAGCCGGTGTCCTGCAGCGGGTTCCACATCCCGGGTAACTCTGTCCTTCCTACCTCACCAGCTCTCCGCAGGCCCCGCAGCCCCGCCGCTGCGGTTGAAGTGTCCTCCCAGTACTACCCTGGGGAACAGGAGTCGCTCCTAAGACTTTCTCCGCCTGCTGATATTTCTGGCCTACTCTGAACCAATTGCAGTTAGGCTAAGGAAACGCCTGCCTGCTGAAAAGAAAACCCGGCAGGCCTCCTTTCGGGGGACACTTCACGTTTTCTCTCTGCAACTGTTCTGACAGGGCTGGAGAGATAAGCAAGAAGGTCAGAAAGAAAAAGGCAACGTGCCAAATAGTACAGCCTGTATTCGGGGGAGTATTACGGACCCGCTGTTCGTGCTTAATCATCCGTGTTAACCACAATAGACCTTGTTTGAGTGATGGGAGAGGCTTCATCCTGAACAGATAACACTCACACATGTGAGTGTGCCGTTCCAGTCCCCTAAGAGCCCTTCTTTCTGTTAATCCTTGCTTACGTTTGTGTTAAAATATCTTCTTGCTAAACTCGATTCCCCTTAATTTTTTGGTCCTATGACACACACACACACACACACACACACACACACACACACACACACATTTTGTGCCTAGGTAGATAAATTAAACTGAAGCCTCAATATCCTCTTTCTATCCTTAGTGCAGCAGTAATAGATTTAGATAGATATGTTACCTAAAGAGAATGTTTTAGTAACCCCATCATTTAGTAATCTCATCAGCTCTTAGAAAAGTCTATAAAATCTACGACAGGGATGAAGACTGTTCTTGGCAAGTACTTGGCAAACAATATGCATGAAATGAGTATGGGTGAATGAACTAGCTGCACAGAGACCTTTTTCTGCCCAATCTTGAAGAGGTACTAGTATAGAGATCCTTTTAAGATAATAAAAGAAAAAACATTCAGAATAAAAGCAAGGTAGGCAAGTAGGTGAGGTGCCTTTCCTTGGGGTGCTTACTCTTACCATCACCCCTTTGTAACAATGTAATTGGTGTGCTAATTCCATTATGTCCATGTAAAATGTATACTACTCTACCTTAGGCCATCATGGAGAGACAGGAAACCCCATCCTACCATCCAAACAATGCACACTGAAAGGTCAGAACTCCCTCAGTCCCCTCCCCTCCCCTACATGTACTCAAATCTCTGAACGGCCGTCTAAATTTCTCTGCTCCTGGTAATAATTTCATCTAGATACGTTCTATTCAAGCATATTCCCAATGTACCTGAATATGATGAGTAGGATAGTGAATCCAACTTAAATTGGTTTTGGAAGAATGCTTGGTAAGACAAAATTCTGCCCTATAATAACTTTTATAAAGAATAGCACCTTGTGTCTATGTGTAATTGGGCATTCATATGATTAAAATTAAATGTATTATAGGAAGAAACATACAGTAGAAAATATATGACACCATCAATCAAAATAGAGAACCACCCAAACTGCATCCCTTATAACCAGTCTTCCCCACCCTTGGCCCTTGAGTACCCTCATTCATGTGGCCTCCTGTCAGTCTTAGAAATATATCTCTCTACAGTCCCTGGTCTGAATAAAAACATCTTAAATGTAAATCTACATAAGATCTTATTTTTGTTATTTTGAAATACCTGGCCCAACCTTGAATACCAATAACAAATAGACTTAATTCAGTGATTTCCATCTGTAGCAGAAAAAAGAGACAGCTCCATGCAGCCAACCATAGCTACCTGTGGGGTTCCTTAATCGTTTTTGGAGCTGGACCCTGGTAAAATTGGATCATTGGCTCTCGCATACCTCCCCCCTCCACACACACACACACACACACACACACACACACACACACACACACACATATATACAAATGGCTTTCAGGATAAGAAAAACAGCAGAATTCAGATTTATTGTTTTAATTAAATTTTATTTTTTATATTAATTACAGTTTATTCACTTTGTATCTCAGCTGTAGCCTCCTCCCTCTTCCCCTCCCAATCTCACTCTTCCTCCCTCATCTTCTCCTATGCCCCTCTCCAAGTCCAAGGATAGAGTAGGTCCTCCTCCCCTTCCATCTGACCCTAGCTTATCTGGTCTCATCCAAACTGGCTGCATTGTCCTCCTCTGTGGTCTGGCAAGGCTAACCTCCCCGCCCCCCATCAAGGGGAGGTGGTCAAAGAGCCAGCCACTAAGTTCATGTCAGAGACAGTCCCTGTTCCCCTCACTAGGATACACACTTGCATACTGAGCTGCCATGGTCTACATCTGAGCAGGGGTTCTAGGTTATATATCCATGAGTGGTCCTTGGTCGGAGTATCATTTACACAATGGAATACTACTCAGCAATTAAAAACAAGAAAATTTGCAGGCAAATGTTAGGATCTAGAAAAAAAATTATCCTGAGTAAGGTATCCCAGAAACAGAAAGACACACATGGTTTATACTCACTTATAAGTGGATATTAGACATATAATATAGGGTAAACCTACAAAAATTTGTACCTCTAATGAAGGTGAGCTAGAAGGAGGACCCTGGGTAAATGATTAATCCTCACTCAGAAAGGTGAATGGGACAGACATTGGAAGAAGGAGAAAACAGGAAACAAGACAGGAGCCTACCATGGAGGGCCTCTGAAAGACTCTACCCAGCATTGTATAAAAACAGACAATGAGGCTCATAAACAAACTTTAGGCAGAGTGCAGGGAATCTTAGGAAAGAAGGGAGTGATAGTAAGACCTGGAGAGGACAGGAGCTCCACAAGGATAGCAACAGAACCAAATTATCTGGGCACAGGAGTCTTTTCTGAGAATGCAGGTTTATTAAAGGACATTTCTAATAAAGATTTTTAAGTACCAGGGTTAAGAGAATAGAAAATAAATAAAACTAGGTAACACATCCCCCAGCATGGGTGTGATTTCCCTTAGAGAGTTGCAATTCCTTCTTTCCAATGCCTTATATGCCATTTTTTAATAGGGTTTTATGGATTTTGAAGCTATAATCTTCAGAGTGTTGCTAAGAAGCCTAAATGACATAATAAGTTTCTGTAGTCTACCTGACAGGATTATAACTAATAAAGTTAAAGCATAGATTAGGAGGTCACAGGAAATTAGAGTATCTTTACTGTAAACAAAATTAATTGTCTTGTTTATGAGATTCCCAGGAAATCCCAGAGTGTAGAATGAGGCTATTCCCAAGATCATAAGCATGTAGGCCTTAGCCTGTGTCCCTGATGCTCAATAGTAAGTACTACAAACCTCTACGTAAGAGAAGTATCTTCTCCGCCGACAGCAACCTCCACAGCAAATGTTAACTGTACAAGGATTCTGCCTCTCAGCTGGTAAGAGACATAATCAAACTTCAGGATGAGGCATTCCTTTCCATTTCCATGTCCCTACAATGTTTGCTGTGTATTCTGCCTTGCAGAAAGTGTTCATCTGCTTACTTTATCTAGTCTGAAATCTAGTCTTCTCACTAAGGGCAAATGCTGGCATGGAAACACACACCTGTCAATCTCTTTATTGCCTCAAGTATTTCTGAGTTGGATTTTCTGGCTGTTGAAACCGTAATGTTGTACACAAAACACTAGTTAGTAGATGATACAATATCCTTCTGTTCCTGCTCTGAGATGACTTAATGGAAATGAAAAGGGAGCAATTATATTAGCTAGCCAGCATCTGAGAGTTGCTAAATATACCCTAACCCATCAGCTGAAATGATTTAAAAGTCTTTAGAAACAGGTCTCAATCACACTATGTACCTATGACTGGCTTAAAACTCACAGAAAACCTCCTCTGCCTCCTAAATTCTCGTGAATCCTGAACCCTCCTGAATGCTAAGAGTAAAGGCTTGTGCTGCCACATCTGCTGTAAAAGGGATTTTTCATCAATAAATCTTGGAATTAGACTAGTCATAGGACTCAAAATTTGAAGACATAGCATTACACTCTTGTCAGATTAATTCTTTAAAACTTCTGCATGTTTTTTAATCTCTCAACTCAGAAAGCTTCAGGTGTTCCTAGTTAACTGTAGTCTAAATTCCGGGACAATGCATAAAGACTGTCTACAGTTTGTGCCCTTTCCAGAAGTTATTCCATCAGCTGCCATGTACTCCTTTATACTTCCTTATTCTTGCTCATTTGATTCACCTATAAAATAATATTAGATTCTGTTGAATACTGGTATCAGAAGGGATAGAATAAGGTTTTGACCCTAAATGTGGATACTCCTCTTTCAACTGTATTAAAAAGTAAATATTTGCCACTTATTTGTCCAAGACCTTTCAAGCTTCATATCTATATCCACTAATCGCCATTGTTTAAAACCAATAAACTATATGATGTTCACTAACCTTGGATGAAACCCATTGTCTTGAGAACAATGAAGAAGTATGTTCCAAACAACAGAATGAGAGAGAAAACTATACACAGAACAAAGTATTCTTTTCAAATTCAAAGGGATGACATCATTTGAAATGAAAATTAGGATATATAATTCTTTGTACACACATTAGCTGGCCAAAGTATCATCTTCAGTTCTTAAGGAAAGAGACACACTAATACACCAACTCTTATTTCTAGTGTTCAATTAAAAAAAACAAAAAACAAACAAACAAACACTTCTTTCCTAAGATTCCCTGCACTCTGCCCAAAGGTTGCCCATAAGTCTCAGCATCTACATTGATAGTCTGCAGGGCAGAGCTTTTCAGAGGTCCTCTGTGTCAGGCTCCTGACTTGTTCCCTCTTTTCTCCTTCTTCTGATGTCCAGCCTCTTTGCCTTTCCGGATAGGAATTGAGCATTTTAGCAAAAGTCCTCCCTCTTGATTAGTTTCTTTAGGTGTACAGATTTTAGTAGGTTTATCCTATATTATATGTCTATATGAGTGATTATATACCGTGTGCATCTTTCTGCTTCTGGGATAGCTCACTCAGGATGATCTTTAAGATCTGTAGAGGACAGGAACTTCACAAGGAGAGCAACAGAACCAAAAAATCTGAGCACAGGGTCTTTCCTGAGACTGGTACTCCAACCAAGGACTATGCATGGAGATAACCTAAGACCCCTGCACAGATGTAGCACATGGCAGTTCAGTATCCAAGTGGGTTCCATTGTAATAGGAACAGGGACTGTCTCTGACATGAACTGATTGGCCTGCTCTTTAATTACCTCCCCCTGAGGGGGAAGCAGCATTACCAGGCCACAGAAGAAGACAATGCAGCCACTC